GCTTCTCAAGACACCCTTTTGATTCTTTTAAAGTTTATTTAATTTCTGAAAGAAGGAGACAGAGAGGCCACCGGCTTGAGCGTTGCAGAGCCGTGCCCTCCGGCCTGCGCCACTGCCGCGGGGCTGCTTCAGTCTTGAGCGTGAGCCCAGAAGTGGGGTTGGAGCACGTGGCAATTCCATTTCCGACTTCCCACGGCGTGTGCTGCACTGCCCCCACGGCACAGCGCTCTGCCGTCCCACGTCCTTGTCCACGTTCATTATTCTCTTGTGTTCTGTTCTGCTAGAGGCCGGTGCACCTGCCAGAGAGAGACAGAGAGACGGAGGGGGACCGGGGCACGGCCAGGCTGCCATCCCCTCCTTTCTCCCTCTGTCCTGTCGGGGTCTGGGGCACTCACATTTGCCTGGGAGTCTTTCAAGCCACCGAGCCCAGGATGTGAGCCACGTGTCTGGCCCCATGGGATCCGGCCCCCTTCCTCATGAGGCGATAGGCCGGCTCATGTCCTAGTACCCAATAATCGCGGTCCTGCTGGGTGTGAGGTGGACTTCCACAGAACGGCTTCCTGCCCGAGGCCTGTCCTCGAAGCTGGAGAGCCTGGCCCAAGGGTCGGTGCCCTGAGCTGCCTCTGCAGCACCAGGAAGGCTCTGCTCGAGGGAAGTCGAATCTGGCGTGGAGACGACCACTAGAATCCGCAGCCCGGCTGGCCCAACACGTGTCAGGCACGCAGGTGACCACCCAAGGTCCGATGGGCTGGTGGACTGGAAGATGGAGACCACAGCATGACCAGACCCTGCGGAGGGTGCTCCTGTCTCTCTGTCTCTGTCTCCCTCTTGTGTGAGTACGCATACCCACACTCTATCTGGAATGGGGGGGGAAGAGTCGAGGCCCTTGACACCTAAACATATTTGGCTAATGGGCCAGCAGCACCCCATTAGGGTCCCTTCTCCCCTAACGTAGGCGGCGGCTTTTCTCACGAGACGTAACCCAGGAAGGAGCCCTCCCCTTGCTCCGTGGGCGAGGCGTGGTCACCGCTGCCCGTGTCCCCTCCAGGCCCCTCCAGAGCTGGCTGAGCCCGGGTCACTCCCCATGCCTGTCAGTCGCCCCCATGACTCAAACCACGCAGCCTGGTTTGGTTTCTGACTCGGCGATGTTCCTTACGCCCACTCTTTTGTTTTTTTATGTCACATTTGCCCCTTGTCCCTTCCTGTTGTCATTTCTGGGTTACCTGTTTGTTTTTCTTTTTCTTTTTTTTGAGAGTTTTCGTTTCCTTTTTTTTTTTTTTTTTTTTTTGTGTGGTTTTGTGCATGCGTTCGCCAGAGAA